ACAGATAACCATTACGACAAAAATCATAGCGAACGTCATGCAGATATAAGCGATAAAATTTTAAAGGTCCAAGCACAAACTAAAAAGCGTTATGACTTTAACCGGGCTAAAAATCTAATATTTGCGGAAGGGGACCTTGTATACTTAACCGTCAACCCAGTGGCTTCAGGCGATTCGACAAAATTACAATCCAAATATCGAGGACCTCTAGTAGTACTACTACAGTAGTACTTTTCTCAGTGTAGTGACCTTCGTCCCAGAAGTAATCTCAGCGTGGTCCATGAGTTCAATAGGTGGCTTGACAACCACACACGGAGAGGCAAAAGATGAGCTCGGTGCTCGGAGAGTTCCGTGAGTTCCCTCCATCAGGTGTCTCTAGCGTCGGAAGCATGACTATCACGTCTCTGACGTTAGTGGTTACTTGCGCCGCTAGCGTAAAACGGTCGACGGTATACACACGCGAATCGTATGAGTGGGGAGCATGAAGCTCTAAAACCCGAGTACTCGAGTGATTCCGAGCGTATGAAGCTAGACCATCATGCATCCCGTACATCACGGCTCTTGAGTCTCGTACACCACGGCTTTTCTGTCATAGCAGATACGATATTATGTAATTTTTTGAGCATTTTAATTTTATGTTTGCTACTTTCATAATGTAAATTCTCTTAGGATAATTTAATGAAGGTTTTTATACTGTATGGAGAGTACTTACCTGATGGAGGGAACTCACGGTACTTTCCGAGCACCGAGCTCATCTTTTGCCTCTCCGTGCAGGGTTACCTCCGCGCCGGATAGAGGCTCACCCCCCCCCCCCCTCCTGCGGTCGCACATGCAGTACATGAGCTCTCTATTGCTTTCGCACATGTCCACGCCAACCCGCCTGTACACTCTTACTTAGAAGTTAAATTCCGTCACTTACACAAACAATCTATAATGTAACTTAATTAACTGTTGAAATTTTTCATCCAAAAATAACGGCTGCAAAATGCGTTTTTTGTATTAACCTACAGGTGATAACATCATTTTACCTTAGCAAAAACAATTACTCTTAATCTTTTTCCGACTATAATAAACTGCTGACTATAAAAACACTCAAAATTGTTGTACATGGTAAAATAAAGAAAAAAACATTCGTAATTTATGTTTCTGAAATAATTAAATACCCATTCGTTGGAAAGATTTGTTTTATTGTTGATATACTGTATTTGAATATTATTTGTTTTTTCGAATAGTAATAGTAAAAAAAAACCAGGTGTGGGTCTCGGAACCCCCGGCAGAAGTGAAACTTCCAACTCAAATATTATTAAACTTGGTATAACAGAAACTTAGAAAATTAGATGACACCTAATTTGAATAGTTCTTTAAGAATCCGATATTAAATTACTAAAAATTTTACCATTACGTATTCGAGTACGCAAGTGCATAAAATACATATACTTATGTTACACGTGATTCGTGAATCCTAAGTACTTCCATGTTTGCTATGATATATGTATTAACATGTGTACGAATTGTTGGTCATGTGATGCAGAACGAAACAAAAATTTTGCCCATAACGCCCCGAAAAAAGATACTTTTGTCCTGTTACGCGGGAAAAAAGTTCCTTTTATTTAAAACTACTATTCGTGCATTTGATATGACATCATATATGTGTACAATCGATTTTTGTTTTAATCATTGTATCCGACAAATAAAATTTTTTTTTAATTTTGGCTACCATAAAAGTAAAATAATCCACTCTATCTGATTGAGATTAAGGAAAACAATATACATACAGCTATTTTCTTGTTTTCAAAGGTAAGATTGTCGTATTATACATTTTTAATACTTTATCCACGCTTTTTTACACACATGTATCCGTATAAACATGTATGTAAAGACCGGGATGTGCAACACGTATATATGTATACGAAATACATACGTATACTTTGCCTCTAGTATAAGTACAGCTGTTGCTTTTCTCTTTTCTCCATAAGTACCTACTTATGCCTTGGATTGAGCAAGTTTGGTTCAGTGTTAACTTAAAAACACATATACTAATCTATGTGTATACATGTATAGGTATAGTACCAGTGTGAGACGAAGGGAGCAAGCGGCGTACATGCGAGAGAAAGAGAGACGGAACGGTAGAAAGTAAGCGCGCGCTGCGAAAGAGAGAGATGGAGCGAGAGGGAGAGGGAGAGTATGTAAGAAAGGAGATTAAGGAGAGGGCTTGGGCTGCAGGGTGGGTGGCTTCGTTTTTTTGTCACGCTTTTCCCCTCACGCGGCTGTTCACGGCCCAACATAAGAAGTTTCACTTCAAAAATTGAAGCATATACTGTTCTTGAATGATATAGGTTTAAAGTTATACAAACATGCACAAATAACTTTAAAAAAAAATTTTAGAGGAAAACAAAAATTATTGATTAATATCTCGTTAATTATTTGCAAACATTATTTGGGTTACATTTTTCCAAACATTGGATAACTTTTTTTTTATTCTGAGCAACTTATACTGTTGGCAAATTATATTTTTGTAAACTAATCTATGAGAAAAGCGATGGGGCTATATATTATGATAATGATAATAATTATTTCGATCATAATAACAATTGAAATAGTGACGCAAAAGGGCACTT